GCTGCAGTGCTTAGACATGCAATTTCCCCCCTCCTCCTTGGAGTGTGCCCTTTACTGCCCTGGAGCCCCGAAGGAATTTTTCTTCACTACTAAAAAGTCAGCAGAAGCATTTGTATTTTCTTGAAATAGCAGGTTTTCAGCATTTCTTCTCAAGTGGAGTTTCAGTTTCTGTTGTTGTCCACCTCTAGGGAACATCAGAATTTGAGCGCAGTTATCCAGCTCTAGTTTGCTGCGTTTAAAAATAAAAATAAGTCCTTAGCTGTGTACCAGAATTTGAAGGGCAGCCACATGCACAGTAATTATATAACTCTTGCCTGTAGTTGTTTGTTTGGGATTAAAGGAGATTTTATCTAAAAATCATAACCCTTCTGCTGGTTCATTTTAGGAAGGAATAGATAGGATTTTGGTTATTTAAGTGACATATTTCTGGAAGAATAGGTGAAAAGGGCATTAACCTAAATATAATCTAAATTTCTGTCTGTAAGTGGCAATCACCCTCTGAATTTTATTTGGCACAGAAATTCCCTAATGTACAACCTCTGTTATAAACTAGCACAAGACAATTATTAATACACTTACTTTGAATCAGTAGTCTTTGCAAAGAACAAATACTAGGGGGCATATATCTCAATTTGAGGTATTCAAAGCATTTCTATACTTTGGATATTTCGTACTTTATGCCTTCTTCTTAGTCCCTGATGATAGAAAGTACCAATGTTTGTAATTATTTTATTAATCCCATGTAGTCCTAAGTATTATGTGAACTATGTTGGTATTTTTTCATTCTAGCATTCTGCTATAACATCAAATTTACTTCAGTTTCTCTAACTACTTATTTTAAGAATGTCATAGAACAACAGTGTTGACATAGAGGAGAATCATCATGTATATTTACATTTAGTGAATGGGAGGTGTTCCCAGGTATGAATTTGCCCTGCATCCAACATTGATAGGTTGGAGAGATGGGTAGAGAAGAGCCATCTGAAATTCAACAAAGGCAGATTCAGGGTCCTGCACCTGGGGAAGAATAACCCTTTGCACCAGCACAGGCTAGGGGCTGACCTGCTGGAAAGCAGCTCTGCAGAGAAGGACCTGGGTGTCCTGGTGGACAACACCTGTCCATGAGCCAGCAGTGTGTCCTTGTGGCCAAGAGAATCAATGGTATCCTGTGGGTGCGTTAGGAAGAGAATTACCAGTGGGTTGAGGGAGGTGATGCTAGCCCTACTCAGCCCTGGTGAAGCCACATCTGGAGTGCTGTGTCCAGTTCTGGCTTCCTCAGGACAAGAGAGACATGGAGCTCATGGAGCAGGTCCAGTGAAGGGCTACAAAGGTGATGTGGGGACTGGAACATCTCTCCTGCAAGGAATGGCTGAGGGAGCTGGGCCTGTGCAGCCATGAGATGACTGAGAGGGAGCCTCATCAATGTTTACAAGTATCTGAAGGGAGGGTTTCAAGAGGCTGGATCCAGGCTCTTCTTGATGATGCCAAGAAATAGAACAAGTGGTAATAGGCAGAAACGGAAGCATAGGAAGTTCCACCTGGACATGAGGAAGAACTTCTTTCCTGTGGAGGTGACATGCTCTGGAACAGGTTGCCCAGAGAGGTTGTGGAGTTTCCCTCACTGGAAATATTGAAGAACTCTCTGGACACAACACTGTGCCATGTGCTCTAGGATGACCCTGGTCAAGCAGGGAAGTTGGACCAGATGGCCCACTGTAGTCTCTTCCAATCTGACCCATTCTGTGAATCATATTTTTAAAATCATACCAGCAGGAGGACTGTGTTTCACACTTCCACAAGCTTGTAGTGATAGACTCTGTATAATGCTTCTGCTCTAAATCTATAGAATTTATTAAGAATATCTTTGGTACTGAAGTCCTTAACAGTTTTCTTGGAATGCATTTTGGGGTCAAAGAAAATTGAAATATTTACCTGTAGGCTGTTTGCTTTTGTAGCTCTTGAAGCTCCAACATGCAGCTGTTTAATAAAACTGAAACAATGTCCTCTAAGCAAGAAAAGCCACTAGAAACAGATATGGGAAAAAATGTTGGTTATCAGGTATCAAACTTAGACTCACATTAAAATAATTAATAGCTGAAATAATGCTTTGGTTAAAAGCTGAATTATTCCATCAAGTGTCAGTAAGACAGTATTTTTTAGGTAACTCTTCTAAATCTATGTGTCTTTCTAATGAATGTTTCTTTCTGCTTGAGTTTTTAAGTGTTTTCATTTTACTGTGGAGATGTCTTATGAATAATACTTTTAAAGAAGAAATTGTAATAGTCCAAGTACCAGAGTTCTTTTAGCAAAAAATAGTGTTTGTGACTTTTTGTTGCTTGAGTTTAATGAGAATCTATTTTGATGCGAATCTGTATGTAAGAAATACATAAATGAATTGAAAATTCGATATGAAATTAAGGTATGGATGTGTCAAACATCCTATTCACCCATCCATCCAGTGCACCAGCCATTTCTTCCTACAAAGTAAAACTGTATGAAGTAGATTTTCTGATTAGATACATTGAAAATATTTTTTGTGTGTATGTTTTCTTCATGAGGCAATGGACCACTGAAATATATCTAAATTCTAGAATAAGATGAGAATAGTTCCAGTTATTCATGTCTGGTTTGGATTTATTGAAGCTCAGAATGGGAACATATGCAATCTGGAAAATTCTGATGGGAAAAAAGAAGCAACTACACTTCTAGAGATAGTTTTTATATTACTGTAATGTAAGCAGAAGAGGTTGGAGTAATTATCCTTTTAATTAAATATAAATGAACTACCAACATGGCTGGAGAGAAGAGTATCTCACTTCTGGTTCCTGCAATTTCATGCATATCTTTCTAAGACTGAATGTGTGCTTGCAGTAAATGTGCATATGTATGTAATGAAGGAGGATGGGTGAATTGTATTGCAGTGGAAAACTTCGTGATTTTTGAGAGCTTCCTTTTTTTGCATAGTTATTTCATTTGCAATTTGTTTTCTCCCTATTTTAATATCTTTAGGATACAAAGTAATTTGCTTCTCTTTGACAAGCTAGGCATTTAAGGAATTAGCAACTAGAGCATTAGAAGCCAGGTACAGAGCTATAAAAGATTCATAGAAGTAATTTTCAAGATTAGGTTTACAGCTTCTAACTTTCACATTTTGTTGTCTTGAGTTTTATGTTCTATGAATCTGCCACCTTAGATAAGAAATATTATGAATTTACACTGAGCTTTCCATCATAAATAAATAATTATAGGGGCAATAAAAGGAGATAAAAGTAATTGGGGGATAGGGTTGTTGGGGAAATGGTTTTGAGGAGTACAAACAAACAGGAGACTTTAAGATCCATCTATGTTAAATTACTGTGAGAATCATAAAATGTGAAATTTAGATAGGGCAGATAAGGGGATTCTACTTGGTTTCAAAGGTTAATTTCAAGCTTAGTATAAAAAAGCTGCAGAGAGTAAGAATACAGCATGAAAATAACTTTTTTATTCCTTCCAAGAGATAAGTTATTTCTTTCCCCAAGGTTTTACTTCAATGCATTTTTATGATTCCTGGGCTTTGCAAAATTGAATTGCATTTTTCTTATTCTTTTCATGTCTGAATAAATCCAAGGTATGATAACCTTTATGTAAATGGCAGTTATAATGCATTTAGAGCTACAAAGCACTTCTTCAGACCAGAATTTGTACTCAGGATTCATAAGAGCCTGGAGAAGGATGGTGGGACTCCTGGGATATTCATTTGAAAAAAACAGATAGAAGCATTATTTGTATAAATTGCTGTCAATGCATTGCAGTCAGCTTGTGCAGTGGGAAAGCCTGAAGACAAAGTCTGCCATAGTTACTGTATATTCCTTTTAACAAGTAACAAAGGAGGAGGAAATATTCTTGCATACATAACCCATATGGTCGGTTAACTTTGGCTAAGGGCCAGTTTCCTACCCAGCCAGCAGGATGACAGGAGAAAATAGAAAGTAAAAGCTTGTGGGTTAAGATGAAGATAGGGAAATTGTTTACCAGTTACTGTAATGGGAAAAGCAGACTTGACTTGGGTAAAATTGTTTTAATTTATTTCCAATTAAAATAGGTTTAGGTGATGAGAAACTGAAAGATAGACATTAAAATCACACTTTTCCTCTTCCCTTTCCTGGGCCCAAATTCACTCATTCACTTCAGACTCCTCTCCCCACCCACTGAGCAGTACAGGGGAGACAGGGAATGGGGGTTTGTGGTCAGTCCATTACAGGTTCTCTCTGCCCTTCCTTCCTCACCCCACTTTTCACCTGCTCCAGTGTGGGATCTCCATCAGCTACTGTCCATCCCAGACATACTCACCTGACTGGGTGTTGGTCCTCCTGGGGCTGCATGGATATTGCCCCTGGCATTTCAGCATGGGCTGTAGAGGAGTATCTGCTCAGAGTATGGAGCACCACCTCCTTTGACCCTGGTGTGTCCTCTGCTGTTTCCCACTCTTCCTGTTCCCTGCTCTTCTGCCTGTCTGGCATTGTGGCTGGCTCTTCCTTAACTAGGTTTCCTCCAAGATGCCACCATTTGGCTGAAGAGCTCAGCTGTGCCCTGCTGTGGTTCTTTTCGGAGCCAGATGGAACCACCTGTGACTGGCTCAGGGCAGCTCCAGCCTCTCCTCACCAAGGCCACTGCACTGCCAACACATTGACATGGACATCCAGTATAGTCCTATTCAATTAAAATTTATTTGAAGGTAGGGAAGGAAGCTTGCAGTCTCACATGCACACCAAAGTCCCACTTTTGTAAAATAAGACTTACAAAAATGCTTAAGCTAGGATTCATTTGGCTGTTTCTTGGAGGCTAGTTTTAGACAGTCCAGGTTATGATCGAACCATGAGTGTGGGCTTTTCAGCAAAGCTGTTCTTTTAATTAGGGCAATGTTATGAGCAGGATATGTAGCCAGGGATAATCTTCTTCTGTGTCTTATCCATTGAATATGATTGCAAATGTTTTCATTGCATTTTTCCACAATTTAGATTGCAAGGGGATAATTTGGCAGAAAGGCCAGAAGATGTCTCCATGGTATCTCAGACATCTGAGCCAGCAGTGTCAGACTCTGATGGTAAGTTATATAAACATTTGCTGCTCATTAAAAAACCCCCAAACATCAACATCTTGAATTTGAGAGTAGAGGTTATGTCTGTAAAAGATTAAACACTTCCAAGAGAGTGTTCCTGGGCATTTGAACTCAATCATTTACGCTTCAAATCTGTTCAAAGAGGCACTAACATATTTTTTGTCCTGGCCAATTAACACTCCAGAATAATTCCTAGGCTTATTTTGAGAGATGCATTGGGCCAGAATTTGTTCTTAGTAGACAGATTTTATCTTAGCACACTAACATTTAAAACAGCTTAATAGCATAGACATGGGCTATTGATTGCTGCTTTTATGCCAATAATTGGTCTTTGAAATATTTATTACTACACATGCATCCAGATGATTCAAACGTTTTACAGTAGAAAGAAAGAGTTTATAAAATAACTCTGAAAAACACTTTTTCCCCTCATACAAACATGTTCATATGGTGGGTTAATCTGCAGTCAGGACACTCAGATTTCTTTCAATTTCTTCTCAGGTTTTTGAATTGAGTAACATCTGAAATGTTGAAAAAGGCACTTCATAAGGGATATCTTTCCAGAGAATACCCAGGTTTCCTATGAAAGATAAAGCTGATAAAGGTTAACTTTATCTTAGCTGCTGCTGTAATCCTGAGAGAAGCAAATATAGGTTTTGACAGAAAATCTGCAAAGATAAATCTTTCAGTCCATTCCCTTACTGTTGGGTCAAACCAGAAGAGTCTACAAATTGTATGTTTTGATTTGCAGTATAGTCTTCAGCAGCCATGGACAAGTTAGCTATGGAGATGAATTAACACAAAAAAACCCCCAGAATGTATTTTTCTTAAAATTATTGTACTCTTTGTCTGCCATCTAATGCTATTGTATATGCTATTAGATATCACAGCAACCTGAGCTATCACTCATTTCTCTTGCCTCTTTTGTAAACCAACCATTAGTAACTAATATGTCTTTAAAGATTAATTTTTCAAATTGCTTTGTGAGAATGTGTGATTTCATGCAGTCAAGACATTGGCTTTTCCTTTTATCTTCCATTGATCACCTAATTGAACAAGGTAATAGGATATTGGGAATCTCAAAACATGATGTCCCTACAATCGTCACGGTGATTGTCAGCAAGAGATGCTCAGACTGGTGACTTCAGTCAAGCCCTGTGAAAGGGAGGCAAAATTCTATTCTTGTGAGAGTGATTCCCAGAAAGGGAGGTGGTGGTGGCTTGCTTGGGATAAGTAAGGGAATATGCATGCATGAGATTATTGCCACAAAAGCAAATAGATGGGTAAGACAGACATGTGGGAAAAAGCTCTACAGTTCACAAAATAATTTTTGAACAGATCTCATCCTTCCATATTCCTTCCTGTGTACCTTTGCTCCTGAAGTGAAAGTGTGCCCACCTTGCCATGCCATGTTCTAAAATTGCAGGCTTCAATTAAACAGTTAGGTTTTGCTAAGTGGCAGCAACACCAGGATTAAGGAAAGTGAAACTATCAGAAAGTACTGGATGCTGTGTAATATTGGAGCTGGATCTTTCATGGTCACAGAGTATGGAGCACAAAAGTGCTACAGATGTTCTACCTTCGGCCACTTCATGTCCTTCTGAATACTCTGCAGTCAATATGGCTACAGAGAGGATGGAAGACACTTTCTTCAAAAAATACCACATTCAATAAAATACAGGGAGTAAAATGTAGATAGGAAGGTGGGGCACTGATATCCATGTTGTTATAAACATCTATCTCGTGTCTATGAATATAATGGACCTGCTAGTCATGTAGCTAGAAAATAACAAGGCCTCTCGGGTGAAAAGACTTAGGTGAGTAGTAAGGTAATGCCAAATTTCTGTCAAGAGGTGCCCTCAGAAATGTTCAGTGTTTTGTAACATATGGTTGAGTCTTTTTTTCCTAAAATGTTGGCTAGTTCTACGCTTCAATTTGAAAAAAAAAAACCCCACAGCTGGATTTCACAAGTAGGTGCAGACTATAAACAGACACAGAACTCAGGCAACTGCCCATTCTATCAATCTTTCCTGTAAATGCAGCACAATATTTTCTCTCTTTGCATCTGATACTTATTTCCAATAAATATTATGTACGAGAGGATGATAAAAAACCTTCATAAAGATATTGTTAAAAACCCTAAGTAACCAAGGCATTGTTGTACTGAATTTTCAGTTATGTCCTCTTATAGATGTATTACATCATGAAATAGTGACTAGCAGGCTTCACTTACCGGGTTTATTTGAATTTATGTTCTGCTATTTATCAGTACCAGTGACCTTAATGAGGGAAAAGGGCATTGGGGAGTGCTGATGCAAACCATCCATTCAAGAATAAGCAAGCAAGGTGCTGATGCACAATAAAGTTGAGAGTAGCTTTCTTTAGATAATGATCTGTTGCTAGATCTGGAACATCTCTCCTGTGAATTTCAGATTAACTAAGTTCAGAAGTAATTGGCAGAACATCTGATCTAACAACCCTTATAAATAAGCCTCATTTTAAGCAATTCCACCTACTAAAGTCAATGCAGGAGCTTATGTGAAAAGATCCCGTGCAGCATCAGACGCTGTACTGACTCCACTGACAATATGGATCTGGTTCTAATTAACCACTACACTGATTTCCCTCTGGTATAATCCTTCTGAATTGGACAGACTTGTGTTTGATCTAGGTAGTAAAAATGAGAGGTAGGAATCAGGTGTCGAGATAGAAAAACACAAGAAACTTCAAAGCTGCAGTTTCTTTTCACTGTCTTAAACTATACCTCTCAAAAATGTTTCCCTTTTCCATTAGACCACTTCACAGGAAAGAACTAAGGGAAGAATTTAATAGTTTCTTGATTTTGATCAGAAGCAGCAGCATAGATGACTGCACAGCAAACTTTCCCTGCAGATGCCAAGCTTGTCTGGTTTGTCTCTTTGGTCAGTTCTCCACTGAGCCTTGCTCTTGTTCTGTAGAGATAGATGGGAAGAATTGCTGAGGCTTCAAAAGATGCACACTACAACAGAATTGATTCAGAAAAATCTACATCCAACAGCCCCCAATGTGTTTATCAGGTTGGTGGGATTGTAGAAGCAATCTACTTCAGTATTTTTGGGGGGTTTTAGATATGTAGAAATCGTATCACTTAGGGATAACTGTTCATTTATTCCCAATTTCCTGTACCATACAACCTTGTTTCACTTGTTTCATTCTCTTCTGCTGAAATGTACCTTACCCTTAGAGTGAAGCCATGATATAAGGCAGGAAAAGATGGCATTATTGCAAATACAGCTTTTGCAGTCTATGCATTCTTGTAGAAGTAAGTTTAAAATGCAGTAATGTATTAGGGAGTAATCTCCTAATACAGGATAAATTAAAAGTATAAGACTTCTAAACCACTCCTCAAATATCTGTGAAAAGCTGTTTATTATGTGAGTTTCTTTGCATGTATTGTGCAACTCCGCGTATTTCTGGGATGTGTCTTTTGTGACTCCACCTAGAATAATACTGGACAAAAGATAATAGGTTCTGTGGTACTCTGCCACTGTGTAAATGTAGTATTTCCTATTTTATTAAACTATTACATCTACAGCTATTACATCTACAGCTCTACAGATTATATTGTGATATATAATACTTAGCTTGCTAAATAATTTTGCTAGCGCAAAATTCATATCTGTAGTTTATTCCCTATCAAACACGAGTCACTGGTTTTTTTGGGATGTTTGGGTTCTGGTTTATTTTTGTTTGGGTTTTTTCCCTCCCCTTTTAAGTGTCATTATAGCAGAAAGTTCAAGAGACATTAGGATGTAGAGGAAAAGTTTGGAATTGGGGATGTTCAATAAAAAAAATGAACATATGGAACACATATAGTGTTGTTACGGGTGAAATTGCATGACCAGGGTAAAAAATTAAGGATGCAAATATGTGGGAATTAAGATTGAGGACTAGATTAGGCAACGGCAAAAGTGTGGCATCACCTCTCAATTCCCACACAATTCCCTGACCACAGCTTTGCATTATCATCACCTCTTTGCCCTCCACATCAATTTGTGTTTGCAATGAATTGATAACCACAGCTGCCATGCTTCACAGTAAGTTCTGCTTTCATAGTAAATATAGCCTGAGATGTTCAACAAGTTGGATTCTGGAAACATAAGGACCTCCCTGCTAAGTGTCTGAATAACAGCAGAACACAGGGAAGATCAGGATATCTTCTTTTGTTGGGCTGTTGATGGAGCATCTAAGTGCCTTAGCAGAGTGCTGGGCAAAGAGTGAAACTGCATAGAATGTTACTTGGAAATTTCTTTTTCTGACAGGGTTGCGTAAAATCTGTTTTAAGTCATTATACATGCATCAAAGAGACATTTTAGACTCCTCACAAAATTATGTCATTTTACAAGTGGCAATATGGGCAAAAAATATGCTTTCAAGGCTTTTAAATGTTGTCTAAATTGACCAAATCCTTTTACTTCAGGAATCTTAACTGAATTAATTGGATATAGTTTTATTCATTTGATTAAAGCTGGAGATCCAATACTCCCTTGTGTAAAGGGTATACAGTATTTAGTTTAAATTGTAAAGTTAATAAAGAATCTAGAAGATACCTTGGCCACTGAAGGAAGCTTGCTTTTAGACACTGTTCCATGTTGCATTAAGGTTATAGATTAAAATCAGACATAAATTATAGTCCATTGAACTGTAACTGAAAAGTAGTATATTTATGGTAGCCACATTTACCATCCCAGCAGTAAAGTTTTAGGCATTACATTTTCAAAGTGACTAACACTTACTTGATTAGAGTGATTTACATTTCTCTTGTACCTCTTTGGAACAGCTCAAGTACCTGGGGTTGAAACACTCACAGAAGATATTAATGAGTTTCAGAGTGCTTCTCAAGTGGCAGCATCTGTAAGTACCTTCCATTACGGGTAATCCTCTAATGTTTAAAATTAGTTTCATAAAAAATAGATTGTGTGTAGAGATAAAAGTTGTCTTTGCCAGCACTATTGTCCTGAGAATAGGGACAGAGAAAGAGAAGAAAACAAAATTTACATAAACCTTCTGAATTTTCAGTTCTCTGCTTTAATTTTTCCATTCTAGGAAAGGGGGTATTTTGAAATACATTATTATAATCTACAAAACCACATGTTGTTTGGCTTGCCCATTGAAAATGCAGTAATTTTATACATAATCTGTGTGTTTTTAAATGCTAGTCAAATATTAATTTTACCAGATAATATTCAATTTTACAAATTGAAGAAAACAACATAATTCAAACTCTAAATTTCATTCTTAAATATGAAATTGTGATATCTCAACTTTAATTTAGATTTTTGTTACCATTTGCTTGAAGACTAATAAAAGCAGTTTACTAAAAATGTATGGCTAGTTTCTATATGTTTTTTAAAATAATGCAATATTATGCTTGGTAATATTTCCATCATTTCTTTTATTTTGAAACTTAAGAAAATCTCTGCAGATTTGCAGCTTGTGGAAAACATAACCAGCAGTAAAATAATTCTTAAAGAATTATATAATAATAATTTTGGTGCTACTAGTATTGCACCAGGAGTTTGAATATAAGTTAGAGAAATTATTGCTTTTTTTCCCCTAAGGCAAATAAACTGACAATAGTTGTTAATTTTTGCAAAATTTTAGAAAAGTGTAAAAGGACACATCAATTCCTGTTCAGTCTCTTCAGCAATACTGCTTTATAGCACACTTTAGTGTTGATATAGGAAGTGAAAGAAGGGCTCAGTATTTGTTAACTGAGGAAAAAAAAGCAATATAAACAAAGAAGAAAACTGACAATGCAGATTGGTCTTGCAGTCTTTCAGGCAGCTGTTTAAGCAGTGTGAATAAAGCTAGATAATATTGAAGTATTTACAACCAGATGATTTGTCAAAGCATTTGAGGGATATGGAGTTCCAGACCAATTCCTAAAGCTCTTTAAGAAATTGGAGTGTAAGAACCTCACAGAGCATTTGCTGATATTGGGCAAAAAGAGTAGAGAACAGAACTTCAGCTGGCATTGCTTGGAGCTTCTTTTTCAAACCTCTTTTTTGCTTCCCACCAGCAAACAGAGGGGTAGAATAAATTTTGCAGCGGTTTCAGAACTCACATTGCCTTACTGATTTGGACTTGTAGCTACAAAGCTTGATTTCATAATTCTGCCGACATGTAACATGGGAAGAGAGAAACAAATGAATTGAATTACGTAGAAAAAAATTACAAAGAAAACAAAAGTTAATTATGCTTATTAGCAAAATCTTGTTACAGAAAGGCACAGCCTTCAGCTGAACAGTTTTACACGTATGCTGTGTGCAGGTTTAGGAGCAAACAAACAATATGTACCTGTGTTCACTTCATGCTCTGGTAGTTCCAGGCTTATTTGAGGTTGCCGGGAGGATGGAACTGCCAGAGGCAGTAAGATTCCCTGGGCTGAATCCCTGAAATCTGGCTGATGTTGTAATTACCAGTGCTGCAAAGAGAAGCCAAGAGCAGTTGCAGCGCTTGCTCTGCCTGTCCATCTTCTCCTCAGGGCAAAGGCAGATCATTTCACATGCCTGAGCTCTTGAAAAACTACTTTGCCCAAGTTTCTAAGGAGACAGTTACTGTTAGTTCATACGCTTTGGGTTTGTTTTTTTTTTCATTTTTGGTGTATTGTGTCTTAGTGTTCTTGCTTAAATGGTCTGTAGCTAGCTGATTCTGTACTTTTGGCTCTTTATAATAGCTTGATATTCAAAATTAAATTCAACTATCTGACACTTTATCTGTAACTGTATCTCCTCAAAAAGAAACAAAACATCATTGCCTTTCAGGGCTCTGAAAGAGAGATCTGTTCCATGCTCCCCTAATAATTTTCAGTGAGACTTATTCTTTGGCAATCTTGACATACAAAATACAGAGATAAAAGTGAGATGCCTCATAGGAAGGCTGTGTAGATAAATGTAATCTTGAAATGGATTTCCACAGTCTTTCAAAGTAGTAACACATATGCCTATAAACAGAATTGATACCAAAATATATTCTCATGACTTGAATGATTTTTAGATATTTTATGAGATGCAAGATGTGGGAAAAATAGAATAAGAGGTTGATCGGACATTTCTCATAAATTGACAAATTGATTCATGGTATTCACACAAATGTGCATATTACATGTAAAAAATCCTGGCATGGTTCAAGGTGTTCAATGTTTAATATTGGTACTGCATTCCAATAGGGTAATTTGTGTTCGTGGCTAGTTAAATAGAAGATTACATAATTTTTTTTCTGCTAAGGTACATTTGACAAATTTTCCTCAAAGATGCCTTGGCCTTCAAGTTTTGAGAAAAATTGTAGGACAAAGTAGCAAGAATTATGGATAAGGATTTTCAGAAAGAACCTTTGGATTCTTTTTTTCATGTCCCATGTATGAATCCGTATGTAAGATCTTTAATGTGAATATAAAAACAATCTGGATACTAGTACTCAAAAGAGATAGGCAACATCTACATCTATTACATGGTTAATGTAATTTACACTATGCTTGTATTATGATTTTCTTGCAGCTTTGTATATGTTTCCTGTTCTATTTCTGAAAAACCTGGTTTTTGTAGGTAGACATTTTTCTTTATACTTTTAAAAATAGAATATTTTGCTATCCTGTATTTTTCATTAAAAGAGTTAATATTTGAAAAATTGAAAACTTAGATTTTCAGTGCTGTACAACCCCAAACAAGGCATTCTGGGCAAATAAGTGAGTAAAGCTGGCAGAAAGCTGGTTGAAGTATTTACAAGAATCAGCACTTTCCCCAAGTGTATTGTAAGGATTCAAAGTGGAAACAGGCATTCAAAACATCCTTAGAGATCATAGTTTACGCCCTGGCCAATATTTTGTGTCAGGAGAAATGCAAAGTGCCAGTCAAAATGCAAAATCTTTTTCTTGAGATTTTTTCACTGTGATGAGCACAAAGTTTGCTAGCCAAATATTTAGAACATTTCCAGAAACATTAAGGAAAATAAGACTAAAAAATACAGAAGTGAAACTAGGAAAAATTTAAGTGGCCTGGAATTCTAGCAGAAATGGAAAAGCAGGGTTGCAGAGGAAGCTGCTAACTTTACAGCGACCAACAAATAGAAACAGGGTACAAGCACTGAGCAGATCACATGGACTAGCCTTTGCCTTCTCTCTGACTTGTTTCTTTTACCACCTGGATCTAACAGGATTTATGCTTAGTTTTTGGTGGTTTTTATGTGAATCTTGCCTTGCACGTGCACGTAAAAGGGTATATATTTCTTTTTAAATTATCCATGTAAGGCAAACCAATCCAAATGCAGCAGAAACTGGAAGAAAAAAGTTGTCCAACTACAAAAAGCGTTTCTGCATGAATGTGCCTTTGGTTTTTGCTCTTTATTACTATGAGAAAAAAACTGTAATAAAGTGTTTTATAGAAGTGTTTTGTTTTAAATAAATTTTTCCTGTATTCCCAACTGCTTTGAAACATTCATTTGCTTTCATAGAAGAAATACAGACATGGATTTTCTGTGATAAATGCATAAATTCTTTAATTCGATTTGTAAAATGACTTTAAGCTTCATGCACAAGGAAAAACTAAGCCTTTATTTTTGCTGTCAATATATGTTGAGTACACTAATATTACAATGTTACATTATTTCAGTTCCATTTGTTAGAAGTTTTCATAGCTTTTCCCATTTTTTCCTCTAGAACAATAACATGAAGTAACTTAATTACTTTTGAGTATAATCAACAGAAATCATCCAAACTTCTGCATTTAACTAAACCTATAAATTATATGCTGAGTTGGGGTCACTGTTTGGCATTTAACAGTTTATTCATTCAAATAGCTATTTTAAGATAGCATTGCCACATCAGGAACAACAGCAGTGCACCTTTGCGGTAGTAAGAATTATAAGTGTCATAGTTGTATCATATTTATGTACATATTTATGTTCAAATTAGAGATTTATGAACATATTTATGTTCAAATTGGTGTGTTCTGATGCAAAAGTTTTCAAATCCAAGCTGATTTTTGTAATTATGTAGAAATTCAGGCACTTAGATGTGAAATTTCAGATTTTAACTTCAAAATTTAAATCTTCTATAAAAATAATAACAGTTAATATTGGATTACTTCAGCTTTTCCACAGGTAGTAAAAAAAAAATCCCTACACAAATGTGGATGTTTAACCACTGTTAGGTAAGTTAACAATATAAGATGGTTAGAAAAGCATAATATCAAAGTTCTCAGGAAATAAGTGATAATTCCTGCAAGTAGGAAAGTTAGGAAAGTAGTTTGAATTGTCTTGGGTGGATCTATTTGGTTGAAACCTCTCTTATTTCAAACAAAATCCGTAAACTAGACATAGATTTTTTTTTTTAATATACAGACAAAAAAAAAAAATCTTGGGTGAAAATACTCTTATTAGAAAATATTTAGTCCTCTAGACTATAATTCTAAATTGAAAGAATATTCTGAACTCTACAAAAATATATGTAAGAAAAGGAAATCAATGAATGCCTTGTTTTTACCTGTCTAAAACTTTGTGTTCTTGAGCATGACAAATTCAGAAGTACTAATTCAAATAACAGTAAATAGATCTGAAGTTTAGAAAAAATTATTCTGGTTGCATTTCAAAAACTGAAACAAATGTGATTCCCAGGTGACCAGATATTTCCTCCTTCTCACTTTCCTGTAAACAGAAAAACTGTGTGTAAGTTAACTTAAAGTATCATTTTTTTAGTGTAAGGTTTAGCGTAAAATGTGCTGCTGGCTGACTGCCACGGGAAGCCAAAAGCTTGTAATTTCAATTACACGGCATTTCAAGTAGAACAGGCCCTAATGTGGAAGAGGGGATTAGAGGTGGCAGCTGATATTGTAACAGAGCTCCAAGAAGCCTTGTAT